GACCTTCTGCAATAGTAGTATGAGGATGTCGGCTGTTGTCCCTGAATCTGCTCCCAGTGCTTCTGACGGGATTCCATCTGATTCCGCTGCTCCCCCGCATTTCAGTATCTTTATGGCGTTCAGGAATTCGGCTTTTGTTGGAGGATTTGTGTTCGCTTGTAGTTCCGCCTCAAAGTCCTCCTCTCCTCTATCATCTTCCATGTGCCCTTCGAGATCCATTCCATATCCACCTCCTTCTTCCTTCCTAATACGGTTATGCGGGTTTCTCTCCACACAACTATTAAATGAGCATAAGCGCTCCTAGTTAGTTCCTCTGGGTTATCGAGTTTATTCAATAAGCGTTTTGGATTTGTAGATATTCAGCCTGTGCTTTCTACTTTGAACACAATTTTCGAGTCCTTCCCAGGGTACTTGTGGGCAAAATTCTCTTGCGTTGGGGCTGGGAACTTTTTCATAGGCCGTTTACCAGCCTATTGTCACCTGCCCCTCTCCCTTCTTTTGAATCCATACAGTTCGCCAAAGCTACAACCAGCTGTGTCAGTTCTGTTCTCATTTTAGCCTTTCGTTCTGCGGCCTATATAGATGATATGAATTCCAGGTGACAGACAATGTCTGTTGGTCCAGAAAGCTTCGGATGGGGCTGCCACTATAAATGTAGGCGGAAATACTCATTTGTTTGGATTCTGAGTCCTCATCCTTTACAGCCGTATCTGTTAGTTTATGAGGGACTACATCTTACAGGTTCATACGTGTTTTCAAAAATTTCTACCCATAGTTCTTGCGGGTAGGTTCTACCGTTTCTCTGTTTTCAGGGACTCCATTGATTACCACATTTCTACTCCGAAAGTGGGGCTCTTGAATTTCATCTGTGAGCCTTTTCAACTTCATTCGTTCAAATATGGAACTTCCAGAAGAATATTTAGCTTCTCGACGCCTTAGGTAAATGAAATGCCAGCAGCACTTTTCAACATCCTCAGAGTTAGTGAAAGATATTCTCGATCGGGTTGGTTTTCTATGTTGGCCGAATTCGAGCCCTGGGAGAACCCTTTCTCAGTCGGTTTGATCGACTTAAGTATGGTCGACAAAGGACGTTCCTTAGCATCCAGTAATTCTTGCCCCGAGGGTATGAGGGACGTCTTGACAGTCGGTCAAGTTCATGAAGATTACTGGTCGTCACTGGCAGTGATATAATTTCGACGCATGAGGACGCTCAGCTAGCTGATAGATGCCACTGGATTTCTCATATGCCAACTTCCTGGGGCTGTGGACTTCACTAGGTTTAAGAAATCCTTCTGATTCCTTCTGGTGCGCCCAAACCATGTGTCTGTCTGCCCCAATCATTTATTTACCAGGCTTAGGTGTGGGCTGCGTAGGCTTCAGGTATTTAAAGACCAGTGACGGTGCAGGCTTAGCTGGATTCAAAAGTGGAATTTTTTTCAACCTACTGGCATCTAATCTACGTCTGCGGAAGCCTCTTCGGGTAAACTGCTATTTCTTCAGAGATTCCTTTGCTTTAGGTCAGAGGTTTTATAGTTTTTAATTTCTTCTGATGGCAGATGGTAACAGGTCGGAATCTGCTGTGCGCCTTTATCAGTTTTCCAACTACTTTCTTTCGTTCATCTAACAGGTTTCTTTCAACTCTCATCAGGACATTAGCGAAGACCCCAAAGGCATCGTCAACTTGCGCTCTGAACTGTCTGCAGTACTGTTTGTTGGTGGGTTTGACGTACTCCACCCGGATCATTTCTTGCATCTTGGCACCAGCCACTGCACTACGTGCTAGGATGTATAGCAAATCTACAGCCCCTTATGGTGCACATATTCTCTCTCCCAACCACTCATAACTGAAAAGTGGTCCAAGAAGTAAAATGAAATTTCAAAAATCACCACCAAACAAAATACCTTAAAAATTGGTAAGTGTATGAGCTGAGATTTGCGACAAAAGCCTGAAAAAGGCCAGTTAAAACACGACCGTTATGTTTGAACGAATTTTTTGGATAGTATGCACGATACTTCCTTCATGTAAATGCACAGTGAAAGATAAGAAGAGTAAATACGATGAAACTGCGCACCTTTTCGTAAAGCGCGCGCATGACAATGGTCTTGATTTACTCTAACTCTTGCATCTCACGAATACTATGAAGGCAGGATTGGTATGAAGACTATTGTTTTCGTCCAGGGTTTCTTAGCCTCAATACATATTCTGTCCACAATCCAGACCGTGAAGTGACGGATAGATAATCGTGGCCTTACAGATTTCATCACGTACGAAAGACTATAACAGATAACAGGGCCTAGTGCCAAAAGTAGAACTGAGAGTTCGAAAATCGTTAGTCTGTTGTGCTCAAATGAATGATGTACCTTATTGAGCACTCTGGAACCTCAAATTGTATACACTGATAATCCACAGCGCTTTAACCACAAACGTCACCTCTCGAAGCCGGTGTGTGTGTACTTTTCTGAAATATGATTCCATAGCTTCCCTGGTTGTCTCTAATTTTGTGCAGTTTCAAACTCTTTTATTACAGCTGTTCAGCATCCGGTATATCACTGTATATGTACACGTCACTGCATTAGCTCCTTGAAGTCAGGTTTATAATTATAGACTTGCTGCCCCAGGTGTCGCACGTGTAATACCACTTGCCACGTAGGACTTAAGTGCACATAGAGTATACGCTTATATAGCAGTAACTACATGATTATATAAATAAATGCTGTAGTACATGCTCAGTTACCAGCTGGTAAACAGGTCATGGTACACACGTATAAGAAATGGACTCTGTCAGTTTTACTAATGGTACCAAACCAGTTGACACCATACTTATAAGGCCACGCTTTGTTCACAGGTCGGTTGAATTTATACAGAGTCATTCCTTAAGGAGTGCGAGACAACTGACTCGTACACTTATGCTGATTTCTAAAATGCATGTTATTTCTCTGCGGATTCCTCTCTTAAATTTGATGCTCATGACAATCAGACATAATTGTTCACCCATTCTTATTACTACCAGCTTGGTCACGACTGCTACCTCCTTCGATACTATTTGCTTGTCGGTCAGTGTGACCAAGCCGGCAAGTACTTTGGGTGCGCTTTGAAATTTTTGGGCAAAAAAAGCCACTAAAAGTTTCAGGATTGCTGCCGACAATGCGTTGTCGCGACCAAAGATGTTAAAAGTTTTGTCTTAAAATTCCAAACGTGTCAAACTACCCAGAGTTTCTCCCAAACGTTCTAAAGTACCCCCGGTCACTTAAGTGACTGATGTCACTGCATTCTCCGACTTCAGGAGCTCTAATATCCCACTAAAATGTCCAAAGTATTCCGCAGGCGAAACCGACATTCAACCGCCTACTCGTCTGATCAGGCCTGTCAGACCGACTGTTATGCTGTATCAGAAGTCAAATGGGTTTCTGGAAATCTTCTCGTGATGCGAAAAGAGATCGAGGAAATCAGTTGTTCTGGCGTGTAGTGGATTGCTAGTATGTATTTGAGTGGTGTGCCTTTTTCTAACATACCATTAGTGTTACGAGTGGCCAACCCCTAAGATAACTAGCTTATAATATTTTTACTGTAAAGTTTAAGCTTTATTTTTATGCCCTTTTCGCAGCATATTGTTTCGTATTTTTATCGCAGTTCATAATGCTAAACGCTGATTGATCCGTTTTACACTTTGAATATGCTATTTTGTTTTCTCTGCCCAAGGCCGTCTGAGACTATATAAACGACTGAGTTTGCACTTATTCGAATTCGGTTGGAGTGAAGAGATTTCTTAGTGCGGTAGTCTTCTTCTGCCGTCAGCTGAGTATCGAGTCGAGAAGTCGTTATTCTGTAGTTATTCGTATTTGTCTCGGAGTGTTGCATCGTTATATACAGCGTAGGATCGTATTAATCAGTTGTAAGCCTATATAACCTATTCTGACTTAAAGTTTGCGTATTATATTCAGTAACTTTCTTTACAGCTAATTACTAATTTCGTAGAAGACCCACAACATTGGATTAAAGTTTTTACCTGCTTTTTGTCAGTCATGGGATATAGCACACACGCAGATCGTCACTCTGTGTTATTATTCTGTCTTGTTCTACTATTTGTAGCAAATTCTCGTCATCGTAGTCAGTTATTTGTGCATGTATTTTGGAATCATTTGCTTATCCAGTAACTTAGGTCCATCGTATTCATTCTGCAGTAACTATTAAACTCAACTACCAAGCGTTGCTTTGATGATAACGTACTCAGAATTGTCACTAGGACTACAAATTCTGCTGATAGTGTGACATCTGAAAACCTTTTTTGATTGTATTCCAATATTCCACTGTTAAATGAGCTAATGGAAACCGGTGAAAACAACGGATGGTGTAAGTTAAAGGTTATAAAGTCTCAGAAGTTATACGAAGAGTAGCACTTCATACTGGTAAGGGTCTTCAACATTTTCGGAAAAACCAATATTTTGTAATGGCTGAAGATCTTATAATTTCTCTTGGATCTGGTGGCTCAGTACTGTATCTACAATGTACAGGTTTTGAAAATCGTCTCTACTAATTACTAGGTATGTTGTGCTATGTACATTTCGGTCTAAACTAACTGGGACCTTATTAAAGATAGCTTCATGGATTTGTCTACATTTGCTTAAGAGCAGTTTTTATTTTTCACTGTCTTATTGGACTGGGTATTCCATTTCCTCTCAGTGACCAGAGGGTTCAAAACCCACCCACTGAGTCGTAAATGTTAACAGGCGTTTCATTGCCTAGCACGCACCTGTATCTTTTGGGTTCGGTTAATGATACAGAATTTATAATGTTCCTAACTTATTTATGCTCAGTACTTTTACAGAAGTGATTTTCCGGAGTTATTAACCTTAGTCAATCAGCTTATTGAAGTCAAAACCTTTTAACCTCATTGTGTCTTACTTGCAAAAGTACCGTTGAAGTGTGTATTGCTTGATATTTTCCAACCCTCTTATTTTTCAGATTATACTCAACAAAAGAATCTATTCAAATAGTCTACATGTTTTCTCGGTCAAACTTATTGATAACAAAGCCAGTCGTTGGGAACGTAGCGACACCTCTTAGTACTGTGGTCCAACCTATTTTGAAGCCGGAAGCGAAACGGAAATCGGTATGATCATAAGTTGTTTAGTCTGAAGGGCAAACTAGATTTTTATTAACAATGAGTGGCGCGAGTCAGTCAGTGGGAAAACGTTCGACACAATTGATCCAGCTACAGGAAGTGTAATCTGTCAAGTTTCAGCAGGCGATAAGGTAATACATTTTTGTTTGGCATCCAGAAGTTTGCTTTTCTCACCAGATTTATCAGTTGACGTCTCTACATACTTAGGCTATCACTTGGTTGATTGCGTGTATAAATGTATAAATTAGCTGAATCTTCACAGATTGTATCCACCATCCATATCTAATTACTTGGTAATGTCGTACAAGTATTTGGCGTTTTGAGTTGTCTTACAGCATCAGTGCATGAAGAAGCATTGTATAGATAGTGAGTAGGTGTCTGGGACTTGCACTTATTAGAGGGTTTATACCTCGCCTCACTCTTTGAAGTATTAAAAACCGTTCAGCATTATTAAACTGTACACAGCAGATGTGTTCGTGGGCCTTATGTTTCATTTGGAAGTGATGTGTGATGTGGTTGCTAACCCAGGCTTGGCTTCATCATAACGATAGACCCATTTAACCTGGTTGGTGCACTACTTCAACAGTTTGGTCTGACCTAAGGGATAGAGTACAACGAAGACTAGTTTTAGCCTGCAAACCATTGTGCTTTATTTATTCCTACAAAAAGTCCTTCACAGCTCGCAATGTGCATCAACAGGCTGTCCGGTTATTGCACTGAGACTGGTTTTAGTCCCAGAGGAATTTTGTTTAATTTCCGGTTATAAAATCACGATGACTTCAAGTAATGTCAAAATAACTGGCAAAGTTTCATACTTATTACTTTCAAATATCCAACGCTGTTTTATGCATGAGGCCTATGTATGGACAGTTAGCAATTCTTGGTATGTATGTATGTATGCAAATAAAAGGAAACGCAAACTGCCTACTGAATTTTTAGTTTTTACAGTGACACACTAATATTTTAAAATAGCACCCTTTCATTTTGTGAATGCAATTCATTTTGATTTCAGTGTTATTTACTCACTGTCAGGAAACCCACTACAAGACACCAGTCAGGATATCAATGGTGACAGATAAAGAACTTAAGTTTATCAACCATATAAATTATCATTTGTCCCTTAGGTTCCTAGTGAAAAATAGGGCTTCAGTGGCACGTCTCCATTCCACTCTTTTCTCTGCAGTATTTTGAACCTGACTCCACCACTGCCCATAAGCCTTCATTTCTTCCTCACACGATTTCCATGTCACCCTAGCCTCGGACACCCAACTCGTCGTTTCCCCTTTGGATTCCACTCGACGGCCTGGCGCATGATGTTTCCAATCGGTCTTCTCAGTGTATGCCCAATCCATCTCCACTTTCTTCTGCATATTTGTTGGGCGATGGGTTCTTGGTTGGTTTGTTGTCAGGCCAGAGTATCTTGTTGCTTATTATTTCTGGCCATCTGATCTGATCTTCAGTATGGAGTGAGCGTAGGCGGCAGCTGTTGATGAATGTCTGTAGTTTGTTGGGAGTGCTTTTTGTAACACGCCAAGTTTCTGAACCATATAGAAGAACTGACTTGACTGCCTTAGTGTTAAAAATCTAGATCTTGTTTATGCTGACTGTAGTAGATCTCTACACTGATTTCAGGTTAATGAAGGCCTGTCTTGCTTTCCCGATCCTGGCTTTGACATCCTCATCTGTGCCACCTGTAGCTGAAACTATGCTGCCTAGGCAGGTGAAAGAGTACTTCCTTTAGGTTTCTGCAGTTGATGGTGGTTGTTGTTGTTTGGTTATCTTCATCACCTCTGTCTTCTTTATGTTCACTTGAAGTCCCGTCTTCGCTGCCTCTTCTGTCAGCTTGTTGGTTTTTGCCTGTAGATCTTCGAGTTTATGCGATATGACACTAGACATAAATCATCATCTGCGAAATCCAAGTCTTCTAGGGTCTTTTCATCGGTCAGATGGCGTATGCCCATCTCGCTCCTCACAGTTTCTTTCATGATGCAATCCAGTTGATCGCAATCAGGAAAATCATCGGTGATAATAGGCGGCAGTCTTGTTTCACTCCTGTCTTCACTTCGAAGGCGTCACTGAGCTTTTCACTGTGAATCACTCGGCATGTGGCGTCCTCATGTAGCTGTTGAATGAGGTTGATAAAGGTTTGTGGTGCTACATAGTGTTGAAGCAACTACCAAATTACTTCTCGGTCGACGCTGTCGAAGGCCTTTTTCAAAGTGGATGAAGTTGAGGTAGAGAGTTGACTGCCGTTCTATACTCTGTTCTATAATGATGCGTAGAGTCTCGATTTGGCCCGCACATGATTTGTTTTTCCTGAAGCCATCCAGCCTGTTCCGGTTGTAATTTTGAAAGCAGAGCACTTTTTAGTATGTCAATAATGATGTGGCTTAATATTTTGCTTGGTGTGGACAGGAGCATGATTCCACGCCAGTTCTTGCAAAGACTTAGGTCTTCCTTCTTTGGAAGTTTGACAAAGTAGCCCTTCTTCCAATAAGCAGGTACGTTCCCTTCCTTCCAAACCTTGTGCAATAGTGGTGTGAGCATGTCCGCTGTTGTCTCTGAATCTGCTCTCAGTGCTTCTGAAGGAATTCTATCTGGTCCTGCTGCTTTCCTGGATTTCAGCAACTTTATGGCGTTCGGGACTTCGGCTTTTGCCGGTTGTTCTATGGCTGGGCTGCTGGTGGTATTTCTGAACGACTTGTAGTTGGTGGTGGTGGTGGTGGTGATGGTAGTCGATTCAAGAGTTTTTTGAAGTGGTCAACCCATCGTTTCCTTTGTTTCTCCTCTCTGGTAACCAGGTTTCCTTCACTATCTGTCACTGGTTTCATCTGCGCTGATCTCTTGCCAGATAGTATTTTGGTTATTTGATATAGTGTTGTCAGGTCTCTGTCTCTCCTACCTGCAGCCTGTTCTGCTTCACTTGCCAGTGTGTCGTGGAAGTGTCCTTTGTCTTTTCGCGCACTCTCCTTGTCTTCTTTGTTCAGTGTGGTGTTTTGTAGGTTGTATTCAGTCCCTCTTTTCGTTGTTCATCCATGCACTGCACTACACTAGTTTATCTTCTGCTTCATCATCACCATTTTCCTCCCCTCCCTCTATCAGCTTCCATGTATATGTGAAGATCCATTCCCTGTCCTGTTTCTCCTTCCTTCTTAACACGGTTATGCAGGTTTTCTCCCTCATCGCTTTCGAAGAGTTTCAATGTTCTTCCACCGAGGTTTCTTCGGGGAGGTTGCTCAATATCTTTCATCTTTTCCTGATAGCTGACGTGAAGGTGTCCTTTGCAGTTTGGTCCTTCAGTTTCTGTTCTGGGTGTTGAACTTGAACTGTGGTCTATCATCACCAGCTTCTTTGAAGATTTTCAACTTGATTTTGAAGGTAAGTTCCTTGCACTAGACAGTGAGTGGTGTGAACCTACAATTGGTCCACTTCTTAATCTGATCTTGTATCCAGTAGGCTGCGTCTCCACTTTCTTCACATTGAGATGAAGTCGATCCGATTTTTAGTGTAGTATGTCCATTTGGTGAAATGCATGTGGCTTTGTGAATATCCTTGTGTTTGTACACATTGCCTCCAATCACCAAATCATTGAGTGCGCAGAAGTCTGCAAACAGTTCTTCACTCTACATTCATTTCACCGAGTGCTTCTTGACCCATGATGAGTTCTCTTTCTGTGTTGTCTGCTCGCAGTTTGGCATTCATATCACCCCACTCATTAGAATAAATTTGATGTTGCCGTCTGGGGTGGGTTCTTGTCCATTACTGATTGAAGTTGTTTGTAGAACTCCTCCTTCTCGTGATCTGCTTTATTTGCAGGTGTGTAGCGTAGCATTGTATGATTGTGACCTTCCTTCCTTTTGAGGTTAACCTTGCTGTCATGATCCCGATCGTGGAAGAGATTGGTTCCCACTGCAGGAGAGTCTTTGATGATGTTGGGGACATCATGATACTCATTCCATAACTCAGTGTGCTCGTGGTTGTCGCCTGGATGACAATATCAGAGTAGATTATTGACTCTCCAGTTGACAGTTTAGAGAGTCCACTTTCATTTCATCTGCTGCCGCAGATTCCTAACACATCTATCTCATACATTCTCATCCCTTTTGCAATCTGGGTAGCCTTGCCAGCCAGCTTCAAACATCATGCGAACATTGTATATGCCTATGCTTACTTTAGCTTTCATCGAGTGGAGAGAAGAGACATCGATCAATTGGCTTCCCGAAGGCTTTCACCAACTGGCATCATTTAGCCTTTCCGATTCCAACGAGGAATAAGTTTGATTTTATGTTTTATATTTCCTTTGTGTTTTGAAGTTTGTTTAGCGATTGGATTGGTTTTCCAGGGTAGGGTTGCTAGCCCTATCCATAACCTTCCCTGTTTATCCGAGCTTAGGACGGCTTAGTAACTAGTGAACTAGTAAACTAGGCTAGGTTAACCATATAAATACTGTTGTTCTAATACTGCAAAAATCACAAAAATGTGAATTCTGTCTTGTTTACTCTTATTATTATTATCTACTTTCTGCACTGTATTCAGGACGATATAGATAATGCAGTTAAAGCTGCACATAAAGCTTTTGAATTTGGTTCTGAATGGCGACGTATGAACGCTGCAACTCGTGGAGTACTACTTAATAATCTGGCTGATCTTATAGAACGAGACAGAGTTTATTTAGCTGTAAGTTGTGCCATATTCTTGATAGTAAATATTTTAGTTACTATGCACATTCTTAATTTTATGACGAGGGTAAACTGTTCATGTTTTGCCATTTTTGCAGTGTCTGTGGATAACTGCTGCTTACACTTTTGGAGTTTTTGATTTCAGTTACATGGAATTGTGATTATATTTTTTTAAGAATTAACTGCCGGTACTAGAACATCATGGAAATGCGTACCTTTTTGGATTGACATTTTAGGAACTCTCCATTCAAAATGAAAAACTTATTTTCCTTAATTAATATCTTACCGTTGTTATACTGTGATAAAGCTTATCGTCGATGTGAACTTTCTAATAAGCTATTGTTATGGCTTGTCTTGGAATTGCAGTATATCAGTTACTTTCGGTTGTTTTTATGCTAGGCGAGTGTGATCACCATAATAATGTAACAGCTGTCACTGGATGTCGAAAAAAGTCGAAGTATACCCAATAACCACGTGCACGTTCGTGCAGTAGACAAGGAACCGTACCGATTGTGTGAAGTATAATGGTGCCACGGGGTTTTCAGACCTCGGTAGGTGGAGTGACCGAATCCGCGACCCACTGGTATTGATATTGAAGTGCCTAGACCAATGGACTACACCTCCACTTGATACGTAACTGTTTTATGTTGTAGCTGGTAGCCTTCTATAGATATTTGCTTACCATCTAAAACCAGAGGTCATAAAGCAAATTTTAGTCTCATACATAGAAATTCTATTCAGCATGCTAGCTGTTCACCTCTGTTACAGTTATCAGGTCTCTGTGTTTCTTCACTTGTTTTCAAACCATGTGCAGTGTTTAAGAAAATTCGTTTTCATTATTTGCTGCATGGATGGTTTGTGAAACGCAAGGTCTATAGATATGTACCATCTCGATGGAGTCTGAAACTCAATAGGAAAATAGCAAATCATCTAAATCTTCTATTTTAGAAGACGATTTTCCGTTCTTAATTTGAAGTTCAAATGAAAACTGTTTAGCCTATTATGTATAGGTGACTGTTTTAATTCATTAATGACTTTTTGTTGTTGTTTGGTTGAGTCTGGATATTGTTAGAAACACATATAGTTATTGAACTTGTAGTTCGGTGTTTTGATTCAATTTAGTTTATTTGAACACCAGTCTAGTATGCAGTTAACCCAAGAATAAATACAGTACAACGCTCTCACATGTTCAAGTTATCGTTACGTTTCTGATTTCAAATATCGGTTTTATAGGATAATGTAGGATATGAACTTCATTGGTAAGATACCGCCTATTGGAATATCAGTGGTCTTTATCATATTTCAACAAAACTGTTGATTCATAATCACCTTAAGATTTATTGGCTTTTACAATAGTCCAGTCTTACAAACTAGTTTGAGCAGTATTTTGTTTTGAAGGGGAACATTATAAACATGGTCTAGCGCATATGTCAGCTCGTGTCCCACTTTCAAGTAATTCTCAGTCCCTTTAACCGAAAAGTGTAATCTGACCAGCACCATAGTAAATATGTTTTAGTTATGGAAGTTCTGGAAAAATAGCCCGTAAATTCTTATCTGTCTTTGTACTTATTGGAGCTTATCAGATGAGTGTGTCAAGTCAACACCAACTTCTTGACTTATAGTACTGAAGCAGGTACCAACATTATAAACATCAGTTCATTAGCGCTTATAGGTAGCACAACCTACGGATGGTGTTCCAATAAGTGCGAATCTATGTGGGTATGTTCTTAAAAGTTGTCACAGAAATGTTAAGGCTCAGTAGTATTCTCACTATTATGTGCCCCGGGTTCATTTTTTATTCGAATGTTTTGATTTTTAGTCTCTGGAAACACTGGACAACGGAAAACCATTTAAGGACGCATATAACATTGATTTAGATTTAGTGATCAAATGCTACAGGTTTGTAATTATACCTTTTTTCCTTTAAAAATATTTTAATTTGTTGATTTAGTATATGACTAACTGGATGTGAGTACGCACGTCGTCGTATGTCTTTTATGTATCGAACGCTTTTAAATCTATCCAAGATGGTATAAGAGTAAGACTTGGACACTGTGGTCTATTGTAATTCCATTTTAGTCTGTTTATTAGAAATATCACACAGTGAAACAGTAGCATTTACTGGATAACGTTTCGGACACAATTTATTGTCCATATTCATATCTGGTAACTCCACAACTTCGAGACGAAGTTTATATCTTTCTAATTTTCTCTCCTTCTCTGTGATGACAAGGATAGTAGAATCATTTCGATTGCATGTATTTGGTGTTGATTCGATAAACAAAGATTCAGTCGGTTATCGATCTCTCCCTTCACCCAACTAAGTTAGTTTTGAACACTGTCGCCCTATCCCACCCTACTGTGTAGTTGTGTGTCATCGCATGCAGAGGTATAGCAGAGCTTTTCTCTAGATTTCTTATCTTATTAGGATCTACTAATCTTGATTTAGCTAAGCTTTTGTGCTCTGTTACTCTAACCGACCCTAGTCGATTGCTTTGACCTACGTACTTGACCTTGCAACCATTGCAAGGGATGTGGTAAACCAGATTATTTTGCTTAATTGCATCGATAGGGTCTTTTAACCTACAAAGCTTGTTTCTAAGTGAGTTTGTTGGTTCGAATGCCACTGTAATCCTAGCCTCATTGAGAATTCTTAGTAATGCTTCTGAGGTGCCTTCCTTGTATGGTAACATAGCAGAGGCTTTGAATTCTCTCTTAACCCTGTCACCATTATTATCATTTGTAGTGGAATCATTATTAATAACACCTGTATTACTACTACTACTACTACTACTACCACTTCTAATATTTTTCTTTCGATTTCTTATGAATTTATTCATAGATTTTGGTGGGTAATTATTGAGACGTAGGGTATTCTTGATGTGTCTAATTTCTTGTCACAGGTTTTCCGATCTACTAGTAAGCTTTTTCGCTCTATCACTTTTTAACTAGGACTACTTCAACTTAAACGGGGTGGGAGGAATCGAAGTCTAAGTAGCGATTCGAATGGGAAGGTTTCCTGTAGACACTAGTCTCTAAACTTCCATCTTATGTTCGTTTACTCTTGCAATCCAACATTGCTAGCTCACCTTCATCATTTTCTAAGTCACAGGTAAGTTGGATTGCATTCACTACTGAATTTATATGTGCCAAGAACCTATTGATGTGTTCCGATTTCAGTACTGTAAATGTTTCATCTACATATCGGGACCATATCTTTGGAGTAGGACTAAATGTTTGAAGGGCCATCTGTTCCCAACTGTCAAGGTGGTGCCTTTTTTATGCATGCAGAACGATTTGTTTTATGTTTCAAATTATACTGGTATGTAAGAACCCTGTGTGTTGTGGTGCTTGAGTACCTATTATGCGAGGGCTTATGGTTACTGTCGAGTTGCTAGGATCTACTTGGAATGAGGATCAAAGCTGCTACCTCTTGTCCGAAGATGAAGTGTTTGAGTTAGTAAGCCGCGACCCTATAGTCTATGCAAGCTAAGGGTACTGGGCAAGAGAAGTAGGTCGATTGATGAGGTTTTGAACCTTCATCAGCTGAGGTGACTTTAAAATGTGTTGCACATGCTGAATCACCGTCTACTTCGACGTGGCATACGGAGGGAAGCTGGATTAGGTTGGAAGAAGACTCAGGGTGGCCAGACCAAGATGTGGCACGTGTCCATAAAGTCACTGGCCGTTGATCTGAGCCGTGTGTGGAGATTTAGACTATCTGGCTGGGATCGCTGGGATTATAAGAATGAGTGATTGAGGACTCGGTGACAGCTTAAAAATGGTCAGAATAGTGCAGATGTATTCACACCTTGAAATCTTCTAAAGCTTGAATATTCACACTAACCTTCATCTTCAAATTGCTTATTCTCTCATATAACTTTACTTACTCTGGTATCACTTTCTATCCACCTGTTCTTTGTATGCTACTGTGAATTATAGCAACTCAGGCTGATGTACTGGTATGTGAGGTTCTATGTTGATTCTGTCTGTCTTCTAGAATCTGTATAGTACCAGATGGACCAACAGCTCTGCAACTAATCAGCAAACACTGACATGTTTTAACACAGAAATGCTATGGATTCGAATTTAGAGGACAGTTTTTCCTTCTTGCTTGATTTCTGTTCTTGTTTGTAAGCTATTTGATTGCATGTAGTAGCATGCATAGCAACTGTGGCGATTGGATTTATTTCTTAGATTTTTTTAAGTTCACATTTGGATTCATATTATTTACTTTCAGTATTTTGGTATTTTGTGTGACCTCCCTATGTTTCATGCTTATGAGATTACACCGAGTGTGTTGGGATTTGTATGGAAAGTGATGAAGGCTTGAGGTGTTTGACCACCGTTGCCTTTATAGTACAGTCCGTATTCCGTGGTGTCACCTCGTGAGTAATGCAGACGTGAGGTGTAGAGTTTTCGGGTGGGGAGGGGGGGGGTTCTCGCAATAAGGTAAGTCAATTGACACGGTTGTGAACCTTGATCGACTGAGATTGAGATGGTTGGGACACGTGTTACTTATGCCTGGTTACTGATTGCCTCGTCACACAATGTTGACCGAAGTAGGTGGGGGCTGGCAAAAGGCTGTAGGTGGCGAGACTAAAACATGGCACGAATGTATGAAGTGTTTGACTGTTGATTCGGGTCATGTGGGTGGATGGAGACTAGGTGGTTGGTGTTGGTGGTATAAGGGGAAGCAGTTGTTGGAGACTGAGTGTAGGTGATATGGCTGAGAACCGATATCCGTGGCGTGGATGTATCCCTTTGCACATTATCCTGATGTTAAGGATGCTATACGGAATCTGATCATTTTCTCATTTTTTGTTTCTCTCTTTTCGTACTTAATATTTCTTTTGACTGAATTTTCTTATCTTGATGTTGGACGTGACTGACTGCGTATATAGTTGATGTATTGATATGAGGTGTAGCAACTTGGTTTGTTACGCAGTAGTGCCTGGTCGTAGGTTGATCTGTATGGATGAATGAAAAATGGCATTCCCAGGGACTAGCTGACTTTGCTGTTTTAAAAGTGAAGATTCATCAAGGTAAGATGGTACACTCGACAAGTTTGACATAAATTTTCGTGTACTGTTAGTAGTTTTCTAATAGGTATCGGTTACTGTAGACCAATTGTCACCTGCTAGATTTATAATCTTTTTAGTAATAAAGATGGTATTCTTTTAAAGTAGTAACAACAAGTATTGTTGGATAAGGTGAACTCATGTCATTTTATGTGCTCTAAATCATCTACAGATCGCATTATTTTAAATTTCGAATACAGTTTGTAGATGAGTATATAAGAACAAGTGTAAAAATTCAATGGAATCAATCCACATTTACACTAATTCATTTTATATAGGGAAGACAGTTGATGAAGCGCCTTTATCTAACTAAACACAGTAGAGAACATATAAGGTGATGGTATGTTGATGACAAATCGTCTAATAAAACTGATCGATAAACGCACAAAAATTGATCATACTAATAATGTTAGGAGGAGAGTATGGTTATGATAACACTAATAACAGTAATGAAAAGCATACTCTAAATTGACAGGAAGTATGATTCAAGGGGTGACTGTTTAGAATTCTATCCAACTTGCTTTGAATGGAGCAATGATAAAAATAATCATGATTCGCCTTAATAAGATACATGAGAAAGATTGTATTTTGACAGCAGAGCCAGCGATCGAAATCACTTGTGAATACATTCAAAGATTAGCCTTTAAAAGTCGAATCACTTGATCAATTATCGTCACGTGTTATGAATTTCCCTATCGACCTAATGTCGTTTTGATCATTTACTGACAAGAAGACTAGACTTAATAAATGTAAGAGGGAGATTAATCTGGCTTGATCATTGAACTGTGTGTTGAATATAGTAACTTCTTTTATTATTTTACATGGTTTGATTTAGTTAGAATGTGGAGTTGTGACTCATTGGTCTAGAGAGTTTACTTTCAATCAGTGGGTACGATGAGTTCAAGCAGCGCTCCACCTATCGTGGTTTGGTCAGCTGGATAGTCTCTGTCACTAGTCCTTACACTGTAATTGTGGCTCTTTGCCTACTACACGAATGTGTACAAGGTTGCACAGTGGATTTCGATTATAGTCAGCGTGAATAGTCAGTAAAATCCGTTATTCGTTAAGACGTTTAGCCAGTAGATCTACTGTAAGGAGTATGTTTTACTCGACCAACCCATTTTTTATATTGTGTATCTAGGCTTTGCTATAGCTTTACTGTTCTTGTTTTTACTATCAATAAACAAAATCCATTTTCACCCTTGTGCATACCATGAAGAGAATTTGCAAACATAATTGACTAGATCATGTAGGTTTAATTTACTATGTGAAAATGGTGTTAATTAGCTTATGTGATATATTGTGTAACTAGCTAAAGCAATAAACCATAAGTTTCTTTTAAGTTTCATGAATATTCCTGGAGTGTATTTTCCATAACTGACATACCTGTTACATTCACGATACAAAAGATGACCGTAAAGATGATAATCACTATTGACTAGGTTTCCTTTGTTCCTCCAACTGATGTCAGTCTACGATGAATAACAACTTGAAATAATTCCAAATCTCCACAACTCCCTCAAAATTTAAATTGAACTGGTGCTTATTGGTGACTAGCTTCGAGAAGTATTCCCGAAGTTCCAATGACAAGTCGTGACCGGTGGAGTCAAAGCCTGATGGCCATGACGACAGATACTCAGCGATGACATTGGGTGGCGGTTGCGCTATATATCGTGAGCTAACAGAAGTTGGAAATATGGAGCATTGGATTGTGACCCAGTGGCTCAATGGTAACGCGCTGGCCGGGGAACCTGAAGTTCGCGGGTTCGATCCCTGCTGGTGGGGTCGTGGGTGCGCACTGCTGAGGAGTCCCATACTAGGACGAAACAGCTGTTCAGTGCTCCCAGGTTTCCTTTGTTTCTCCAACTGATGTCAGTCTTCGATGGATAACAACTTGAAATAATACCATTACAACCAATAGTGTATATGGAATTAATTATTGGAGAGAAGCCAACAAATTAGTAAACTTATTTTTGTTAGGCAAGCGTTGATATTGTATTATCTATGCATGATGGCTCCTCCAACTTAAGTTGATTGACTGATGTTTTGTACAGTTGTCAGATCAATAATTATTGGTGCAATATGCCTTCAGTTTCTTTGTTATACACCCGAATATCTCTTAGAATAAGCTGAATAACTTTTCAAAGTACATATTTCATACTGAGTGTAGTTTGAGTACGTGATGAATAACATTTTACTTCACTTTCTTATTTCATTTATAAAGAGGACTAATTCACTTTCTCTTCTTTTGTTTTGGTTTATTCTAGCACTAAGAATTTCAGTTTAAAAAGAGGAATGAGAACCTAATGTCTATCGGTGATAAATAAAAGACTTTTTATTACTACCTTCTTTGGTCACTTCTCATGTATCACTGTCCCTCCAAAATTGATCCCTAATGTCTGTACGGTACTCCTGTCTCAGTATAACTAAGAATCTCAAAAATCACAAAATGCTTCACAAAGAAAACTAAAGTTTATTGAAAAGAAAAAAAAGTGGAAAAGGACACTAGTTAAATAAAATGCATTTGTAAGGGATTGGTGCACGTAAACCTACAGACAGAATTACCTAAGGAAAGTCTCTAAATTAGAAGCTACTCTTTAAGACTACTCAACTCCTATGTATTCACCTCAGTTTTCGAAAATAGGAAGTTTTTAGTCTTCATGACTTTCACTGGTATTACTATTTGTTTCTACAAGTAGTTCGATAGTTTGCAGCATTTCTTAGACAGCTGATTGGCTTTTAACTGCAGCATTGTGTTAGAAATTCAAACCGCCACTTCGATACCAGTTGATTTTAGTTACCTGGCTCCTTTGTCTAACTATGATCAAACCTAGGCTTAAATGTTACTTCCAGCAGTACTTAATTAACACGGATGAAAATTGCTTCCACTGAGCCCACAGTTCGAAACTCTGATTCATCTTCCGAAGTTGTTAGTAATTATGTACAGCCTGTGTACACAACAACTCTCTATAAATTTTTTTTATTTGCTCTTTTTTAGTAGTTTTCAACTTTAATTTACAAAGGATGTAAAATTATTTGTTTTTCCTTCAAGATATTATGCTGGTTGGGCAGACAAATATCACGGAAAGACTATACCTATCAATGGAAATTATATGTCCTTCACACGTCATGAACCTGTTGGTGTTTGTGGACAGATTATACCTTGGAATTTCCCACTTCTTATGCAAGCATGGAAACTGGGTCCAGCACTAGCAATGGGTAATACTGTCGTGTTAAAACCAGCTGAACAAACTCCATTATCTGCTAACTGGGTGGGTGAATTAATTAAAGAAGCAGGATTCCCACCTGGAGTAGTGAATATTGTTCCAGGGTAAGCTTATTCATGATTTGGAATAGATTTTTCTAGTGTTTCATTTAGTTTTTTATTTATTTTTTAAGCTTAAATATTCTGAGAATTATTCAAATGAGAATGGTGAATAATATGGAATGATCAACTAAAATTGTTGTAAAATTCTGCGTGGTGATTAAAGGTGAAATGAAGATCTGAACCGCAGTAGGATTCAGACCGGTGACCTAGTGCTACGAGACCCTCGTAGCTCACCTACTAGAGCACCAGATTGGTAACGTGAAGGCCACTGGTTCGAATCCTACCTTGGCCCAGATTTTCATTTTACCTTCAGTCATCATCCAGTATCAATACAAGTCTACCGAACTGCGGCTGTCTCAGATAATCAACCTCGAGTTATGTTTGAAATAAGTGTAAAACTGTGTCGGTCAATTCAACTAGTTCTGTGGTGATACTTTTGCACTTAACACTATGTTATAATGTTTATTTTTAGTTTGTATATCAACTTCTATGAAGTGAGAACCATCATAATAAAACACTACAACACGCGTCATCCAATTAAATAACCGAGACTTCACCTCTAATGGTGAAGTGATTGAAGATGCAGATATTTGATTCCAGACGTCTTCAAAACATCCATCATGTATCATCAAATCACTAAGCGATCACTTTGAAGGGGGAGGCGCTTATCAGCGCTAAGTTTGACGGGATTCACCTAGCAGAGCTGAATTGTTCTAATCAGCTGATCACGTCAACATGAGTGGTTTCTAACTATTATTCATGTTGTTCAGTAGTACATATCCTTAGGTCATGATACTTTTTGTTAGAGATAAACATTTGACGGTTTCCAGTGGGAATCTGTTTATACTGCAGTTAGGTAGTTAAAAAACTGTCACCCAATGGGGTTGTAAACCTGTATGAAGCGGTTAATGATGGATCGTGGCTAGCAGTGGAATCCAGGATACGCATTTCGTCCCATTTGGGACTCCTCAGCTGGATGTACCTGCTTCCACTGTTAGCCACGATCCATCATCAACATAATTAAAACACTGGCAATATCGAGGCATCCGCACAGGAGCCCATATGACAATAGAAACCGGTCAATTTGGTCCAACCAACAACGGTATCATATAAAAACAATTATACTGTATGAAGTGGGCTTGTGTAATCAACTTATGCGCATATTTCAGCGACTACGTGTCCTGATAAGCAACGCTGGTTGTAGTCGGATTAGTCTGATGTCTTCCTAGTCAGTGTGTGAGACTATGCGTACATAGTTATTTGCTTAGTAGGTAACTTACTCGGATTCCACTGCAGCTAGCAAAGTTGACTTAACCATAAACTCTATCTCTATCTGCTACAAAATACGTTTGGGTCACAGCGTAGTACATTAGCGTATTTGTGGTCACTGACTTCCTCCAACATTCTTTTGCGATACCTTAATTATTTGATAAGTTGAATAAAACACAGATTTAAAATACTAATTAGTATTGTTGTGCAAATTCAACAACCTTCATTTTTATACGCAGCATTCATATATTGGTTCACAGGATTCATTCATTATAAAACAACCCCGCTAATGAATTACAAAATTCCTACACATAAGATGACTTGGCTAATTTTAGTTGTAGTTATTTCGCTTTCCATTGTCTACACTGAAACATTTCAAATGATAAAATACTTTACTTTGACTCTGTTTTTAATAGATTATTAATTATACCCTGTGTTTTTTTTTGTATGAGGAGGTTTTGGTAAACTGAAATGGGACTCATCCTTCAAAATAAAACTTCGTGATGATCATCTGTGGTTACATTATGGTGGCGAAGGACCTTTTATTTTGAAGAAACCTGTTTTATTCCTTTAGTTACCGATTCAGTTGACCTGATCGCAGGAGAATGTTCGTTAGACCCAGAATATGCAGATGACATAGTCCTGTTAGGTGAAGAAGCTGACAAGATGCAGAGTCTTGTGAACACTTTGAGTGGGAATTTAAGAATGTTTGGGATGCGTTTCTCATCACCCAAATTCAAATTGTTGCTCCAGGATCGGTCTTCAACGGTGCCATGGCTAACAATAGAGAGTGAATGAAGTGGTTGAGTTTGTCGACCACTTGACTTACCTGGGAAGTAGGATCGCTCTCCTCCGGTGGCTCAGTATCTGATGAAATCGCTGCACGGATACAAAAGGCTCGATTGGCTTTTGCCAACTTACGCCACCTATGGCGCTGCCGTGATACCCAACTGTCTATTAAGGGTGGGGTGTACTGCACAACAGTCTGGTCTGTTGTACTGTATGGCTGTGAAACATGGCTGTCATTGAAGGTGGAAGACATGAGAAGGTCTGAGGTGTTTGACCACCGTTGCCTTCATAGTATAGTCCGTATTCCGTGGTGTCACCTCGTGAGTAATGCAGACGTGAGGTGTAGAGTTTTCGGGTGGGGAGGGGGGGAGGTTCTCGCAATAAGGTAAGTCAATTGACACGATTGTGAACCTTGATCGACTGAGATTGAGATGGTTGGGACACGTGTTACTTATGCCTAGTTACTGATTGCCTGGTCACACAATGTTGACCGAAGTAGGTGGGGGCTGGCGAAAGGCCGTAGGTGTCGAGACTAAAACATGGCACGAATGTATGAAGTGTTTGACTGTTTGTTCGGGTCATGTGGTTGGATGGAGACTAGGTGGTTGGTGTTGGTGGTATAAGGGGAAGCAGTTGTTGGAGACTGAGTGTAGGTGATATGGCTGAGAACCGATATCCGTGGCGTAGATGTATCCCTTTGCACATTATCCTGATGTTAAGGATGCTATACCGAATGTGATCGATCATTTTCTAATTTTTTGTTTCTCTCTTTTCGTACTTAATATTTCTTTTGACTGAATTTTCTTATCTTGATGTTGGACGTGACTGACTGCGTATATAGTTGATGTATTGATATGAGGTGTAGCAACTTGGTTTGTTACGCAGTAATGCCTGGTCGTAGGTTGATCTGAATGGATGATGATTTTGATAAAAATCTGTTGTAGTGATCTTCACATCTCACTTGTTAGATCAGAAAGGTCTTGACACTAGACGCATGTTTCGGTCATTCTGAACCGAGCTTATCAGCGCTTAGTTTGGGCCGATTTACCTCCGGAGCTGAGTTGTCCAAATCAGCTGATCATGTCAACATGACTGGTTTTTAAGTATTATTCATGTCCAGTAGTATATTTCGGTAAGGCATAATATTTTTTGTTAGACAAGAACATTTGAAGGTTTCCCCTGGGAATGTGTGAATGTTGCAGTTGGGCAGTTGAAAAACTGTCTTTTCAACTCTATGAAAATGTCAGTATGAGCCGTTTAATGTTTGAATAATGTGCGAATCAGATTCGGGCTTGTTGGTCACAATCTGAACTTGGGTACTAAAGTCCTGTTTGGCCTTTAGCAGTTAACTTCATCTCTGATGCAGGTAAGATATCCGACTGCAGTTCATAGGGCATCAGTCCTCCTTGCTCTATTAAACGGCTGTGATTATGGTCGTTCGAAGTAGAAGAAATGAGGAGACTTTAGACATTTAACTTTGTTTTCTGTGTATTGTTCGTGTTTAGTGGAACCACCATATAGGCTATGTTACTATATGTAGGCTATTGAACAAGATACGCAATTCAATCTATTGACGTTGTGAACCTTCCCAAGTTGTGATATTCTGATCATTGTTGCCCATTCCAAGTCACCACCTACTTTGGCGCGCTATGTTAAGTGAAATAAGATTGGAATGGAAGAGGGCCAGAGGTGGCTAAGCCAAATCAATGAAGCATCTGGGTGCTGGTGAAGCGTGTATTGAGGTGTAGGCTATCAGGTGGGAGCCGTCGAGACGATAGGAATCAACGGTCAGGGACTGTTGGTGACATGGCTGAATATTGGTTACAATAGCGCAGATGTATATACTTTGTGTCAGTTCCATCTAAGGGGACTGAGTCGATTGTGTTTAGTCATGACCACCACTTCCTGGTTTTCAGCTTTGCCAGACATATGAGTGTAGAATTAATACCTTCAAACTTCATAGAGATTGATTTCTGTAACCGATATATAGCAGGACTTTATGCATGTTAGATGAAAACACTGATATGACACTATGTTTTAGATGGCTTTGTTTAAAACGTAAGGATGTCTGAGATGAAGTCCTCACTTCACAAACGTAAGACATGGCTTCATCACTGACTAGAATCACTGTCTATTTTAATAGCGACATGAAGTAGTTATATGTTGTACATCCCACCTGTTTTAGGAGTCAAAACAGATTTTGGAGTTTGATTTACAAAACTAGTTGTGAAGTGCAACATATTTTATCACAGTGATGTGTTACATCCAACATTTACAGTTATGATTCACTTCATTTAGGGATGTTGTGTTGACACGAGGTAGGCGTTACAGTAATTGTGAGTGGAATTGAATGTCAACCGAGTTGTTTGAGTGGTTGACATTTTTCTGCTGCCCATACCGTGGAAGGCTCATTCTTCTTGAGGTACCTGAAAAAGAAGGTTTAGTGCGTGACCACAGAGCCCGAGGGACATCTGCTTGAGTCCGGTCACACGCGGTCCTTTTAGAAGTTTGAGATTTTAGTTTGGTTTTGCGAATCCGATTATGAACCCATATAACCGGCACCAGGGAAGAGAGGGATGTGTCACTTCTAGGGCCAGCCTTTTCTAATCTCCACCCTTCTCATGGAAAGCCAGCCTCCACATGGCACTGCTGGTCATCCAAGGGGAATACCTCACTGCTATCATACCCCTGTCTAACCGGTGGTATGACTTCACCCTCGGACTCCTACCATAGCCCAAAAATTTACACTATATCGGTATGTGGTTTTTATGTAACCACCATCCAACAGATCTTTCTAATGTTATAGGACCTCCATCAGCATAGCTTGTTGGGTCATTATGATACGCAAGCCAGCCCATCGCATCAAGGTAACAGCTACCTATCTGGCATCATTGCATGAAGCTTTTGGCTGTTAGTCTGAACCATGTGGGGGAAATATAGACTTCGCGATTGGACTCCATGTGACATCAGAAACCAATGATTGGAGACTGTAGGTGACATGGCATGGTCTAGGATGCAAATACTTTTTCAGTAAATATGAATGCAGAATTTAAAATTATCTCTTGTGAATAAGGATCACAGTATACTCACAACCATCGGCAGTATGCAACTCGGGAACCATATACAGGTTCTCGCAATAAATTATTAACGACACTTTTTTTTATGCGAGCTGATGATACTGTCTGGTAGCATAAATTCATGTAAGTGGTAAGGCAATGAACCACACCTATTGTGTTTACCACTTGGATGCCCAGACTTCGGTAGGTGGAGAGGAGGCTCGTACCCTCAACTAAATGGCTGATAGTCATTCTCCTAAACCACTAAGCCATAGCTCCACACAGATAGGTGGATTGAGATGGTAAGCTAAATGTCCCCCCTGCCCCATTCCGGTAGTTCATATTTGAGTACCTAAACCAATAAGTCACATCTTCAAATCATATTCATAAACAATGAAAGTGGTTTTTCATCCTTTTTCATAATAGTATTCTTACACTTTTGTACCTGTATTTTGTCCAACTATTCTTACATATTTATGTACTTATCTTACTTTATATTTTATTGATTTGAATCAGGTTCGGTGAAACTGCTGGCGCTGCATTAGTTGCCCATCCTGGCGTAGATAAAATTGCATTCACCGGTTCAACTACCGTAGGACAGTTGATCAGTCAGAATGCTTTCAAAAATGGTGTAAAACGAATTACTCTAGAACTCGGTGGAAAGAGTCCGTTAATTGTATTTAGTGATGCAGATTGTAAGTTTTGATACAAGATGTGGTTTGCATACATTCTGGATTTTTAGAGATGCAATTAATTGTATACTAAATAATCTCCTAATTTAGATTTAATTTCCTCAACTGATTGATTTGATGGAGTCAAATAAACAAAACAGCGCACTACCCTACAGAAAAGTGTAGCTGTAGAACAACCTATTGAGAATTAAAGAACGCTGAAAAGTTATTTTTTCCATTTCGAAACTAGTTACTAGTGCACACCATCTGCACAGTATTCGAGTTGTAGAAAGCTACTACATTTTTGGCGGTTTGTTATAAATTGTTTGGTAATGCAGCGATGCCGATTGTCAGGTACCTAACAATAAAGCATACTTTATCCAACTCTTCCCAGTCCTAGATACTGAGAAATTGTCTCCAACCACTCTCAGTTTAATGATACAAATTGAAGTGGTGGAATATGTCGGCTACTTTACTTATTAGAGAAGTTGCATCAGCTCTAACGAAGCTGGTTGCTGGCGAAATCTCAGCTCGGATACAGAAGGCCCGTTTGACATTTGCCAACTTGCGTCATCTATGGCGCCCACTAACGAGATATCCGACTACTCATCAAAGGACGAGTATACTGCGCTGCAGTCTGTTCTGCCCTGTTATTGGGCTGTGAGCCTCGGCCGGTAAAAGTAGAAGACCTGAAGCGATCACAAGGTTTCGATCACAGGTTTCTTCGTAGGACTTTTCATGTTTTGTGAGATCACCGTGTGAGCAATGATGAAGTCACGAAAAGCGTACTAGGCAAGATAGGCAAGTCGATTATTGAGGTTATGAAGCTTAGCCGACTGAGATGGCTTAGACATGCTGATCGATCGGCTACGTTGATGTGCCACGGTAGGATAAGTTGGATTAGGTTGGAAGAGGGTTCAGAGTGGCGAGATCAAGACGTGTCACCAGTCGATGAAATCACTGACTGTTGGTCTGAGCCATGTGGGGAGATGTTGACTACTTGAATAGAGTTCCCGGGACGATAGGAATCAGTGGTTGAGAACTCATGATGACATGACTGAAGACCAGTCACAATGGCGCAGATGTATTCACTCCTTGACATCTGATGCTTGAATATTTGTACTAATCGTTATCTTCAGATTGTCTATTCTTTCACATTACTTTGTTTACTTTAATATCAATCTTTTCCTATCCATTTTTTCTTTGTATACTACTGTGAAGTATGAACACTTGAACCGATGCACCTATATGCAAGGTTCTAGGTAGGTTTTGTCAGTCAGTTAATCAGATTGTGAAGAAAGTGATCATTGGATGAAATTATATATTCACCCAATTAGGAAAGTTCATAACTAGATTACAACTCTTCCATTTATATGTGTTTTCATAGTTCGTAGGTTTGTAGGTTTGTTGTGTTCGTCAAGGGTGCCTACTGTCTCCATTCTTATTCAATTTTATCATAGATATTCTCATGGAGGTCTCCCTCTCGTCACCTGATTACACAGACGTTGACCTGATCACAAGAGAATTTTCATTAGACCTAGAATATGCAGATGACATAGTCCTGTTAGGTGAAAAAGCTGACAAGATGCAGAGTCTTGTGAACACTTTGAGTGGGAATTTAAGAATGTTTGGGATGCGTTTCTCATCACCCAAATTCAAATTGTTGCTCCAGGATCGGTCTTCAACGGTGCCATGGCTAACAATAGAGAGTGAATGAAGTGGTTGAGTTTGTCGACCACTTGACTTACCTGGGAAGTAGGATCGCTCTCCTCCGGTGGCTCAGTATCTGATGAAATCGCTGCACGGATACAAAAGGCTCGATTGGCTTTTGCCAACTTACGCCACCTATGGCGCTGCCGTGATACCCAACTGTCTATTAAGGGTGGGGTGTACTGCACAACAGTCTGGTCTGTTGTACTGTATGGCTGTGAAACATGGCTGTCATTGAAGGTGGAAGACATGAGAAGGTCTGAGGTGTTTGACCACCGTTGCCTTCATAGTATAGTCCGTATTCCGTGGTGTCACCTCGTGAGTAATGCAGACGTGAGGTGTAGAGTTTTCGGGTGGGGAGGGGGGGAGGTTCTCGCAATAAGGTAAGTCAATTGACACGATTGTGAACCTTGATCGACTGAGATTGAGATGGTTGGGACACGTGTTACTTATGCCTAGTTACTGATTGCCTGGTCACACAATGTTGACCGAAGTAGGTGGGGGCTGGCGAAAGGCCGTAGGTGTCGAGACTAAAACATGGCACGAATGTATGAAGTGTTTGACTGTTTGTTCGGGTCATGTGGTTGGATGGAGACTAGGTGGTTGGTGTTGGTGGTATAAGGGGAAGCAGTTGTTGGAGACTGAGTGTAGGTGATATGGCTGAGAACGATATCCGTGGCGTAGATGTATCCCTTTGCACATTATCCTGATGTTAAGGATGCTATACCGAATGTGATCATTTCCTCATTTTTTGTTTCTCTCTTTTCGTACTTAATATTTCTTTTGACTGAATTTTCTTATCTTGATGTTGGACGTGACTGACTGCGTATATAGTTGATGTATTGATATGAGGTGTAGCAACTTGGTTTGTTACGCAGTAATGCCTGGTCTTATGTTGATACTGATGATGATGAGTTCGTAGGTTTATAATTAACGTATATTGGAAAAAACCCACAAAGAAAAGCCTCAAAGTTGAGTTAAAATCAATAACATTAACTGCACAGTACTTGACGTGTTAGCACAGTTCGGGTTCAGGAAACATAAAAGTCTTAACAGACTTCAGTAACTAGCGCTTACAGCACATCTGTTTCTTACTTTTTTTCACAGAATAACTTCATGATAAGTTGTTCATAGTAAAACCTGAAAGCGTTTTGGTTCTGTCATAAGTGGTCTATGTGCTACGTCGGTGAAAATGAGAACGAGACAAATATCTAGTATTTTATGGTTGTTTATGACTCTTCCTCTGTTGTTAGCTTCTGTTGAAAACTCAGACAGATAGTCAAATCAATGTAGACAGTGCAAGTTCCTTGCGCACATGTATGGCGAAGTTGAAAACCAAAATGTGATGGCCTCAAATGAATACTCCTCACTCAACTTCCTCAGAGAGTAGACAACCATAAGCAGGAGTTGTAGTCTGCTTGGTGGCTAGCGGTGGGATCCAGAAAGTGCGTTTCCTCCTGTTTGGGACTCGTCAGCTGGGCGTTCCTGCACCCCAGCTTGTGGTGTTTTTCCTGCTGAGGCTTGAACCCAGTACACAGCACTTCAAACATCAAACCAAATTCACTAGTTCACTGGAGCACTGAGAGCCACCTCCTGTGCAGGTATCAAAGCAATAAGTAAGAGTGTTCGAATTTAAAGTTCTCAAGAATGAAATATCTGTGTCAAAAAGATCTCTTTCAAAAAGAACCTCTATCATGAAACCTCTTCATCAAGAGTCAAATACTGCTTTCACATCAGGTATTACGGACAAATCTATATTCTAAAACCTGACATAGAGCTAAGATTTGACCAATAAAGTCGCGAGAGAACCTGAAATGTGTTTATCTTCTTCTGATTTCATGTTCCCGAGTGTCAAGTAAATACAAATTCTCGTAGATAGATAAGGAAACAAATCAGCATAAGACCTTGCTTAGAAGGCCGTCAGTTTAACATGCTATATATAATAACTACATTTAAAGAAGTAGAGAGAAAAAGGATGACATGCAAGTAAACAGACGTGCATGAGACCAGAGGGTGTAATTACATGAAGTTTAATAAAATGAGCTAAATCTCAAAGATGATAAGGAGTGGACACCGTAACTCAGTTTGAGTTATGTCAAAAAGAGTATCCAGCAATTGATTTCTACCACCTCGACGACTGCTATCACAATGGGATCGCGTTATCTGTGAAATCGATCTGCTATGAATTAGCGGCTTTTCGTGGAAAATGCGTATTTTAAACTGATGATATCTTGTAGGTTGGACTTCAGCTCTTAACAGAGGTTACATTTTACCTGTGCTCTTAGAGTGACCTTTATGCTGCTAACCATTGGATATCCAGGGTAGGAGTTACAAGAGAAAGTGAAATGCCGTTATTTATTGAAATTGTAACTCAATGTTTCTCCAGGTTTTCCAGATATAGTTTAGAGTTATGGATAGCGGTGATTTTCTCATGACTATTTTTCATCTGTCACTTGATCAATAAGATTTTCTTTTCTTGTTTACATAGGACATCTCTGTATCGTTATTATCATTATTTTTCCCTTGGGTTCCTAGTGGAACATAGGGCTCCAGTGCACTCTGTCCTCTGCAAACTTTTGAACCTGGCTCCACAGCAGCCCAGAAGCTTTCATTTCTTCCTCACATGATCTCCTCCATGTCACCCTCGGACGCCCAACTCGTCGTTTCCTATCTGAGTTCCACTCGATGGTCTGGCCTGGCGCGTGATTTCCCCAAATGGTCTTCTCAGTGCATGTCCAATCCATCTCCACTTCCTTCCAGTGCGTATTTGTTGAGCGATAGGTTCTTGGTTGGTTCGTTGCCAGGCCAGATTTCCTTGTTGCTTATTCTTTCTGGCCCTCTGATCTGATCTTCAGTAACGAGTCAGCGTAGGTGGTAGTTGTTGATGAATGTCTGTAGTTTAGGACATCTCTCTAGGTACTCTAAATGTACCCGACTGATATTTTACATAATTAATCCAGTTAATAATAGAAAATTGTTTAAACGAATACGCTACAGTGTTCTTCCCTTTTGATACAGATTTATTAATCTTTTCTTTTTGTTTCAGTTGATCGAGCTATTGCCACTTCACATTTTGGTTTGTTCTTCAATCAAGGCCAATGTTGTTGTGCAAGTTCACGTATTTCGTTGAAGAATCAGTTTATGATAAATTTGTTGAATATAGCACGGAAGAGGCTAAAAAGCGTATAGTTGGCAATCCTTTCGATTCGAATACACAACAAGTGAGTACCATTTATTGAATTCAACATCACTGACAATGGTTACGGGAATCTAGTATCAAGTATGATTATTTGACAAATATAGCCTTTAACTATGTTTCCTTCCTGAAATACTTATTTCTTATCGTTATAAAAATAGTACTAAATTTAGAATTGCAGTGGGGATAACTATAAATATAAAATATAGCTATTCATGGTGGAAGGATATAGCAAGGTCTCAGGTATTCGACTACTGTTACCTTCCTAGTTGAGACTGTCTTGAAACCACAACACCACTGATATGGAGGTTAAGCGTAATCTTAAAATATGAGATAAGTTATAAAGCTTCATCGATTAAGGTATCTGCGATATGTGTTAAACACATGTATTCACTGTTTACCCCCATCGCCCATTACCAATACTTAAATAGATGTAAGCTGGAAAATGGTCAGAAGCAGTTAGACTAAAAAATGGCGTGATAAACAGTTCATGAAGTCTACACCTTTTGGTCTAAATTATATTGCGGAATGTAAAACTTTGAAACAATTGGTTCCCTTTATGAATTTTGTTCGATAAACCAATAAGAACACGTAATTTGTCGGAGTCGTATTTACGCAAAACCTATCGCTTCAAGAGCCAAGGCTTTATCCACTATACCCCGGAGGAACGATAGCCACTTCTTCTACAATGGGTAGTAGTTATTACTATATATTGATATACTTGTAATTCTGCGCTGTTTCATTTGGTCGAATTGTTCGACCTCTAGTACAATAACCTTAGCTTCAAAGCTGAATTTACCAAGGAAGGTTTAATATGATGACAAATTATTTTTGAAGGCATAAAGGTGACTTAAACCTCCTAATAAATAATGCCTCATCAAACTTCAAAATAAGTCCCCAATAGGTCTTATAGATAGGTTTAAATGATGTTTGTACATCCACTTTATCCTCCGTTCCAATAATATTTTTAGCTATTGAGCATCATGGACGTTTGTTTCTGAAGCCACTTTGGAATATGTTCTGTGACCCCTATTTTCAATGATCCATGAGTCCCCTTTATATACGTGTGACCACATGTACATTTAAATTGGTAAACACAGTGGGATGTGACTTCATCTTTCATCTGTTCATCTGCTTTGATGGGTATATAGGCTTCGAATTTTCGATTATCCGAACCTTAGCGGCATAATATATTTCTTTTATGGCAGCGTTAAATCTGTCTGATTATGAAACTATTCACATCACCAATGTATGATAGTCTAACGAAAATACCTTTCTTAAGTACAGAGTTGACAGTATTTCTCAATGTTCTGTCCACTTTATGCTAACTAACAGACTTTGTTGCGTAGTTGTTCTCAATTAATGTTTCCGTCAATAACCTTGTCTCATCTTTCAACATATCAGCTATGCATATTCGTTGAATTCGATTAAATATACACCTAACTAAGCCTCGTTTGTATTGGAACGGGCAGAAACTATGGTAGATTATATACTACCCTGTCCAAATGGGCTTTCTGTTAATAGATCGTTTCACTAATCCATCTTCCCGTTGACTAATCAATACATGTAGAAAAGATAGGCAGTTATCATTCTCTTCTACACTTGTTAAAGATATGCTATTCTGCACTCCGTTCATTCGATTCAGAAGTGAAGTAGCACTACATGGGTCATCACTTATGATTAAGATATCATCTACATATTTTATATGAATCCAGATAATGTTTCAACGTATGACATAAATCTCTGCTTAGAGGGGACCTAAGGGGCTTGTCATAGGAAGCACGTCTGTGACCAGATTGTTCGAAATGTCATGCGCGAATACATTATATGGCTCAGACAAACTTCTCCCCTACGTTTTATGTTACAACCGAAACCGATGGTTGGAGACTCTGAGTGTAAGTGAACATGCCTTAGAGTGGATTTCATTGGCGCTGATATATCCACGCATTATCTACATCCTAATCGTCATGCCGAGTTTCTATGTTATTTTATATCTGGATAGCGGCCTGCTCAAATCTTGGTCTACCAAAATTCTTTCCAACAATTACATCCCATCAAATTCTTCCTTTTCAGTTTGTTTTGGTCTTTTAAGTGTCTTCTGAATGCGTCATGTACTATTGTACGTTTTTAAAATGTTTTCAAACTTTAGTTTCTCAAGGTAAGAACGAAACAAAGGAAAAACATTCCACCTATTAGAAATGTATTTGTAAATGCTACAAAATACACCCTATTACTATTCCTAGGATATCTGTATGGGATTAGGAATTTCTGTACTGGCTGACTGAATTGCCGCCATCGAAATTACACTCAGTTTTGTGTTAATTTTGAATCGAGAACAGACGCTAAAACTAGCTGCCTGTTTCAGAGTTATGCCTTCAATACTACTACTGTTATTTCTCTTAAAAACATTGTACGGAAAGCGAACTTGTTGGAATATTCCATACTGAAAATTCTATACTGGATCGTACATGTTTGGAGTAAAGCGATTATCATCACACTATTATTATTATTATTATTATTATTATTATTATTATTATATTTTCTTCCCCTTCTATTACGACTTTCTGCTACCTTTTTCCTCATTTCTCTCTTTCATCCTGTTGCCTTATATCTGACTGACTAACTGACCAGTGGACTAAAATGTTACGAAATCTTCGACTTTAAAACTTATTTTTAGATGTTACCTGGATTCCTGTAAAGCGTAAGAAAGATCTCTAAATGTCTTTAAGGCCGACCTTCATCGGATGATTTCATTTCTTATTCGAACATGTGAACAATCAAAGTTTACTATTAAGCGTCGTGAATTTGACTGCTGTCAATTTAATAGGGTTAAAATATTGTAAAATTGTTTACAACAAACTCGTCTACACATTTGTGTGTACTAAAAAACAGTGTTTAAAATATTTCAAGTTGGTATTCACCGTAGACTGACATCAGTTGGAGGAACAAAGGAAACTTGGGAGCACTGGACAGCTGTTTCGTCCTAGTATGGGACTTCTCAGCAGTGCGCACCCACGACCCCACCAGCAGGGATCGAACCCGCGACCTTCAGGTTCCGTGGTCAGCACGTTACCATCAAGCCACTGGGTCTGGATTCAATGGTCCATATTTACAACTTCTGTCAGTTCACGATATATAGTGCAACCGCCACCCAATGTCATCGTTGAGTAACTATCCTCACGACCTTCAGGCTTGACTCCACCGGTCATAACTTCTCATTGGAACTTCGCAAATCACCTCTCGAATTTCGAGGAGGTTATAGGGATTTAGAAATATTTCAAGTTGGTATTCATTGTGAACGTGGCTAGCTTTTTCAACTTATTCGGATCGGATGCAATAATACCTAAACTAAATAACATTACTTAATTTTATCATTACACTTTACATTTCATAGTTATTCGCAAGTTCTTTAAAACTTGACATTGATCTTCATCTCTATCCTGTTACGAATTTATAACCATTAGTGTATATATATTTTTTCCTGATACGAAAATGTAACAGCAAAGAAATTGGGATATGTGACTATTATAGTGTTCAAGAGTAGAATAAAAAGGGTTCCAAGGACATAAGGAAACCACTAATCTCGCCATAGTAATGCACGTAATGTTTTTAAACAAAGCGATCAAGTTGAAGGTTGTAAATTATCATAGACTCAGTTTTGTATGGATGATGCAGTCGAAAGCTTTGGCAACTGTTGTAAAGACCCTGTAGATTACTTTGAATAAACTACTGGGAGTAACTATATGACCGGAGACGAAAAGGTGTTCAAGAATAGAACTGTTAATATTTCTTGCCTCTCCTTTGAATAATGATGCTGAACAATGTTCTAAAATACGCCTACGGACTGTGTTCAGCTAATGTAAACTGTTGAATACGCATTGAGGTGACATTAACGTGTTAATAGATTAATTGTCTCCTGGGAGATGTGCTTCTTAGGCATGAAACGTCGTCCTCAAAGATCTTGAGAAACGATTTGTGAATGTGAAGTTCATATGGAGGGTTTTCTTTGATATGGTAGATAATTGTTGTATTTTTCACTTTTCTTTCATGATAAATTCACTTACTTCGATATTTTCATTGAATAACTCCATTGTTTATCAAAATTCACTCAGTGTACTATGATTTGAACAACTATTAGATAATGGATACTTGGTTCACAGTTTGATGTACACAGATTGATTCATTACTGATTATAAATCTCAAAGTTAATTTTGTATACTTTAAGAAATGAATTTTAAATCTATTTTTTTCAGGGTCCACAAGTTGATGAAAAACAGTTTAAAACTATTATGTCATACATTAATAGTGGTAAACAAGAAGGCGCTAAATTATGTACTGGTGGTCAGCGATATGGTTCAGATGGTTATTTTATTCATCCTACAGTTTTCTCTGATGTTCGTGATGATATGCGTATTGCTCGTGAAGAAGTAAGTTATCTGTTTAACCTCAGTTTGAGATATTTCTAGTTTAAAGTGTTTCAAAAACTGAAATTGTTGCTGACAAGAGGAATCCAGGACACAGGTTTCGTCCTGTTTGGTACTCGTCAACTGGATGTACCTCCACCCCAGTGAGTGATGTTGTTCCCATTGAGATTCTAACCTCTTACTCACCGCTTCAAACGCTAAAGTTTTATCCACGAAGCCATAGACACACGATAGCCACCTCTTTGACAGCGTGTATTAGTTATTACTACTTGTTGATATGCTTGTAATTCTCTGTTATTTTCCTGTGAAATAAATTATCATAAATATCTAGGCAATATCGAGACAACCGCATAGGAGCCTATATGTTGATGGAGGTCGAACAATTCGATCCAGTAAAACAAGCATATCAACAGATAGTAATTTACAGTGGATTCATCTATCATCTAGTATATATGACACAAGTCAGCTGAACGCGTTGCTATTTATCAAATTAATTAAATTTTTCTAAAACTTCGTCTTAATTGTATTTAGCATAACTTTGCTATTCTGCTTCCCCTTTCATGATCAGAGAGCTAAACACGTTAGAATAGTTTTTTTGTTCTACTCTCATTTCTATGATATACTAGTCATACTTTTGAGCACAACTTTAAAATATCATCGTTAAGATTTTCATGTAGACTGGTTGATTTGACAAAAAAGTTGTTATGAAGTAATTTTGGATATAATTTACTCTTCATCATTCTGCACCAACTCGAAGTCAAACGATCATGAAATGTTTGGTTACAGGTTTACTGTCTCCCGCTTCTTCTTCTTCTTCATTTCTTTGGTTTTAGTTGGACTAAACACTCAATTCGGCATTACTTTTCAGCAGTTCCTACTGCGAGTATCTGTGTTTATTGAAATCCATGTTACCTAGATTTACTACAAATCCCTCTCTACCTCATCAATGGAGTAGTACCTTAAGCCTGAATATAAGTGTGGCTTATAGCCTAATACATAAACATGTATTAACTTACATATTCATAAGAAATCTCTGGAAATTTCACTACCTGAAATTGTAAAATCTTTCCAAATATACTGATAATCATGGATTATAATATGTACTAAGTTTGACGGCTTCATGTATTATCTCTGGACTGCCATTCATCATCATCCATCATCTAAATCAACATAGGACCAGGCATTACTGTGTAACGATCTGAGTTGCCACAGCTCAAATCAGTACATCAACTATAAAGACAGTCAGGTGCAAGATGAAGATAAGAAAATTCAGTCAGAAGAAATATAAAGTACTAGAAAAGAGGAGGGCAGAACAAGAAAAGGATAATGTGTGTATACATCTACCCCACTGACATCGGTTTTCAGCCATATCACCTACAGTCAGTCTCCCATGGACCGTAACCACCTAGTCTGCATCGCCCCCCACATGGTTTGAACCAACAGTCAAACACTTCACACATTGATACCATGTTTTGGTCTGACCGCCTCAGGCCTTTTTCTAGCCTGGACCTACTTCGGTCAACATTGTGTGACGAGGCAGACGGCGACTAGGCATGACTGCCATTCGATATTCATACATGTATTTCACTTTCGGCCACTAGTTTTTGATTGAAGTTGAGTTATGTTAACTGAAGTCAACTTTCCTCTTTTAAGGTCAATTTTTTTCAATGTTTGAGGTATCTTCCTCAGAGAGAGATTTCTCGGTTTAAGAAGTGTTTGTCGTAAACCATTTAGTAGTAGTATACCAAGCTATGTGTGACCAGCTAACTGTATTTTGCGTATCTCCATATCTGCGTTAAACCAGGTGGACTGATTACATTTTGCCGTGAATACTGATGGCTGCTTTGATTGTTGTCTACTTACGTCGCATATAATGCAAGTAAGAAAACTGAATGCGTTAACAGTTAGATGTTTTGAACATTGCTACAACTATGAAAGAGCCATTAGAGGTAGAACACACAAAGAGGTTATCGTTGTTTGGCGATTGTTTCCTTCGTAGCATCATTAGAGTTAGTCAGGAACAGTCCGATAGTCTGTAAGTGCTCACTATAAACGTGTGATGAATTGGAATTTTCTCAACACTGTGCATTTTGTGAAGTTTTTGGTATTGATAAGTAAATAATTTAGGAGTCATAGTTCAACTTTTGTTGCAGTGTTTTAATTGTGTTCACTGATTATTTTTCACTAAATGTAAAACGCATTATTACAAATTTTTAAAGGTTTGTTGCTTCCAACTTTTATTTTTTTTATCGTTTTCCCCTTTGAAGCCTTCTTTACAATTGTTTCCTCAATATCAGTCACTCTTTCTGCCTTTTAAATTCCTCCTCAGTGTGTATCATTGTAAAATTTATCAACATGTACTACGGATAGATATTTGAATCAACCTTCAATTTCCTACTCTTTCATTGTTAAACTAGTAATTTTTTTATGATCCTATTGTTTTAACTTGTTTTGCATCACATCAGAGTATTACAATATTGGATTGGATGAAAGTCACTGTGTGATTTTCACGTGCTCTACTATTCAAGATTAATTCATATGACCAGTTGACATGATCGAGAACGTATTTCTGTATGACCATCAGTTGGAAAAATGTTCTTGGTCATTGTTTTATTCTACCGATGTAATTAGTGTCCCATTGGTTCAACTTCACAGTCAGTCGATCGATGATCAGCCAGTTATTCTCCCCCTCCTCCCCTGCTTCAGCATATTTCCTCCAGTTATCTGTTGATATTCTTATCCACTTCGCTTAGTTAACTAGTTCACTAGTTACTAAGCGGTCCTAAGCTCGGATAAAGAGGGAAGATTGTGGATAGGGCTAGCAACCCTACCCTGGAAAACCAATCCAATCGCTAAACAAACTTCAAAACACAAAGGAAATATAAAACATAAAATCAAACTTATTCCTCGTTGGAATCGGAAAGGCTAAATGATGCCAGTTGGTGAAAGCCTTCGGGAAGCCAATTGATCGATGTCTCTTTTCTCCACTCGATGAAAGCTAAAGTAAGCATAGGCGCATATACAATGTTCGCATGATGTTTGAAGCTGGCTGGCAAGGCTACCCAGATTGCAAAAGACATTAGAGTGTATGAGATAGATGTGTTAGGAATCTGCGGCAGCATATGAAATGAAAGTGGACTCTTTAAACTGTCAACTGGAGAGTCAATTATCTACTCCGATATTGTCATCCAGGCGATAAACACAAGCACACTGAGTTTCGAAGTGGTTATCATGATGTCCCCAGGAGTATCAAAGGCTCTAACATGGGAAAACTTAGGTACATCAAAGCAAAGTATATATATATATATATATCAGCTTTAAACAATGTGTTGGTTTGTTTTTTTCACGTCTAATTTTCCTTAGACATTTGATAATTTCGAAATACTTGTTGTAATGACGATACTGTTATATCTCTGTGATTAATTCAAGTCTTTTAAAAGAATTTCAAGCATTGATGTCAGATAATATCATTGTTACGAATGCATCCACTCTTCCTTGTTCTTTAGGTTTTCAATACTCTAACCAGAAAAATTTTTACTATCTCCAAGAGCACATAGTCATTAAACTCTTTGTTATTATCATTATTTCTTTGTGTGTGTGTGTGTGTGTGTATGCATAGATATTTGGTCCTGTAATGCAAATTATGAAATTTCGTTCAATTGATGAATTACTTCAAAGAGCTAATCAAACACCTTATGGTCTTGCAGCTGGTATATTTACCAAAGATCTTGATAAAGCTATGCATGTTATGCAAGGTTTACGTGCTGGTACAGTTTGGTAAGATCTCTCTTTCTTTCTATATATGCCTAGATTATTATCAGTATTCATTTATATCCTAAACTAAGGTTGATTGTTTATCGGAAATTAACAATTAAAATTTTTTTTATTCACTTGTAAAATTCTTACAGAAGTGTAGTTGTGAACTCATTTTGCCGACAATTCACTCCTAATCTACTCCTCTACTTCGTAGGAATAGCTTATCAGTAGTAATGTCTTTGATTCTAATCAAGCAAGATATGGTTTCATGTCTCATATGTACCTGAATTTCTTGCCACTGAGTGATCGCCTTACATCTAATGAACTACTTACTTTTGGGCACTTTTAAGCTGATATGATAAAATAGCTATCCAGTACACACATTTTCGATATTTCTCTACATAATATCAGTCTATCACACAAACAACTTGGTTGAGTTGAATTCTACCTTGATCCATGTTTTGGTTTCAAGTTCATGTATTATTCAGTCTCCCAAATTACTGCTATCTCAGATGGTTTCACCAACTAGCTAAGTTTGTTTATTCACCGTATACAGATTCTGATTCAATCATAGCATGAAAATACACTAACTGCTATGTTGTAAATAATATGCATTGTGATATCATTTGATCTGTGTATTCTGTCATAGTTATTGATGCATATGTTCGACATTATCTTCGTTAAATGGCAACTGTGACGTATTGTTTGATGCCAACGGACAACCAGTGAGACAGTGTCTGTCATGCCTAAAGTTAGTGCTGACCAAAAGTAAGTGATTATCAGAAGAAAATTGCAACAGATAGATTATGTTTGCCGGTCTAAAATGCCTTTCCGATTGGCTTAGCTTCCCTACTTTACCGTTGAAGTCCCCTGCTATTTTGACTACATCTGCCTTATGTAAAAAAATTGACATCTCATAGAATTCATCCTTTGCATCATCCGAACTGAAGTCGGTGGATCGATATGTGGAGATTACGAATATGCATCAGTTGGTCTCACGAACCTTACTACTTCTCACAGATCCATTCAGCCGAACAGCACATAAACGACCGTTGACTGGTATCCAGTCGAGAAGCGAACTTTCTGCCCTACAGCCCAATCCTATGTCTACACTAGCGAGTCCACGAAAACCGGCCACTGGGTCTCTGGATACTCTTAAGGTGAATTTTGAAGATTCACCACATTGACCACGTGGATTTAGTTGAATAACTATACTTGGGGGTTTGTATACACATCTCGGAGACACGGCGTACATCCATGACTTGAAATCCGAGGATTTTGACAAGAAATGCCTGTTTTCCGACTTATCATTGGGTTTGGACGTTGAAAGTTTATATATACAGTTTGCATCGTCGTTTCCGAAGGCTGGGAATTGTGTTTTGCTGGCTTGAATCCTTAGCAGTGGTTCCAAGGTAGGAGGTTGAGAAAATTGTAAGAGGCTTTACATTGTAATCAGAAGTTGATAGCAAGAGAGGAGATGAGGGTAAGGAAAGTAGTTTATGTTTGATTGGGTTTTGCATACTACTGGAAGCATAAGAGCGGCTGGTAATTCTCGGCTAATCACGCAGTGGAAGTTGGTTTTGCAGGGTGATCACAGACATCTGCTTGAAACCTGTCACACGCGACTGTTTTAGAATTTTTGGCTTAAGACTTGATTGTTCCAATGCTGAGTCAGAAAAACTCATAAAACCGTTACCGGAATACCGTTGGATAGGGAAGGGGTGTGGTGTTTTCGAGACCAACTTTTCATAGTCCCTCGCCTCCCCATAGGGAGAGCAGCATCAGCATGGTGCTGCTGGTCATCTACGAGAAGCACCTTCATACTGTTACCCCCCGTCTGACTACAAGTAAGACTTCGCCCTCATCATAGCGTAGCGACCTACACTATAATGGTAACTGTCTTATCACTATGCAACCGATTTTTCTGGTATGGTAGGACAGCAAGGAATAAGCTTGCCAGCTAGTGTAACTCGTTGGGTCATTGTGATATGCAAGCCCGACCACCATCGGTCGGCAACAAGGTCTTATTAGATAATAATCCTACTCGGATTATTTATGGACTAGTCTGAGTCAGTTTCACTTTCAGATAATTCACTTAGGAAGATGATGGTTGAAGTCCAATGTGAATACCAGGTGCTACAAGATTCTTTCCAGTAAACCTCCAGGTCTATGATGATACAAGTAATCTTTCAACTTCAGTCAACATTTCATACATCGAAATCACTTCAATGTAATATATGCTCATATTTAGGTTAATCTCAATCTTTCTTTTACATCGGTCAGATGTTTACATGTCCTTCTTTCATTTTGGGGACTTATTTCCTTATACAGGATTAATTGTTATAACGTCATCGATTCAGCTGCACCATTCGGTGGCTACAAGTTTTCTGGAGTCGGTCGGGAATTAGGTGAATATGGTTTGCAAAACTACACTGAAGTCAAAACTGTGAGTAGTCTTTAATGGATCTCCATTCAGGTTATTATTTTGTTTTGCGTTATATGCCTGAAAGTTTTACTTAAAGTTTTAATGCCTTTTCAATCTCTAGGATTCTCTTCTCATCAATTTTTCTCGCGATCGAATTCTTGTTAAGCAGTTCGGATCATTCATTTAAAGATACGATCTGACTTTCTTCTAACTAGTCCATTTCTTCTAGGTTAATTTCAGTGGACTGTATATGTATGGTATATCAGGCATTTTGCATCTGATATTGATCTAATCTGCATCTGTACCGTCTAAAATCTTACGTTTTAATGTGTATACTTCAGTGAGTCTTCCATCAATCACTTCGGCTACATTTGAAGTGATCGTCTGGTAGTCCTTGATGAATGGTTTGTGAGACCATGAATATCATTTCAAAATCCCACACTTTGGGTGAGCAATACCAGTAAGCATGGTAAAAATGTGATAGGATGACCAACATTTAAACAAAAGTGAGATATCAGATCTGTTTTTCGTCTTTGGTCAATAACTTCCTAACATAACGTAGGTTCATTACATGCAGTTCAGTCATGATATCTTAGTAGATAAGTGCAAACCAGCAATCATTTACAGATTTGTGTCCTGGAGTGTATTGGCAACCAGTGACGTTTACATCACTTCCCAAGTTTTGATAGGGAGTGCAGAGTTCAAATCTATCACCTACAAATTGAAAGTATATAGACCAGTGAATCACAACCATATCAACTACTATCTACAATTACTTGTTAAACGTATAAGTACAAATATAAATTTTTATCAGTTTGTAGACATTTGAATTTTGAGCAATTTGTCCTCAGTTCAAATCCTGCTCCACCTACTTCAGGTTGCGTAATCGCGTGTGGAGCTGTGGCTCATTGGCTTAAGGAGATGACTTTCAACCACTAAGTCACTGTCTCGAGTCCCAGGTTTGGGTACTCAGGTAGTATTATTAGCCTACTACACAAATGTGTACAAGGTCACTGAGAGGGTTTTGATTCGTAATCACATGCGTAATTAAAAATGCTGAGAAAAATGAAGAACTTAGTGACACTGTAACCCAATCTAATCGAGGTTGAATGTAATGCTTATTGCAAGCACATATAACAGTTCAATTACAATACGATGGGACATGAGGTTAAAGCCATTTTGCTTCACTTCATACTGTTTCCAATCGCAGTAGGTGTTTTACTCTATCAAGATCAATAGTTACAGTATCTACTCATTCTCCAACAAGAAGGCTAAAAAACAATAACTTTAAATACTCTATTCTTTAAATAGACCCACCGTTTTATACTACTGACTGTACACCATAAGTGTTTATAGCTTTTATGCTCAAAAGTTTCGTTGTTTTTTCTCTTCTTCAGGTGACTATTCGAATGGAACAAAAGAATTCATAGACACCATGATGATTATCATTTATATTTTGGAAGTATTTTTATATACCTTTTTTTAAACTGAATATTGTTGAATATTGATAAAATACAGTGCGTACATACATAAGCAGGGATTTTTTTCAATACTACCTTATATTGTCTGTACCGTAGTCAGTATTGTACGATTCAGCAGAGCTGCAGGTAACTGAAATGGGACTGGACTGTTTATCAAAAGTAATTGCTGTACTGGTTAGACTCATTTCTCGTATTACATTTTCTTGGACCATATGGGCTATTATTTCATTAATATCCTCCTTACAACATATGTGTGACTGAAAAAAGTCAACATAAAACCTTGCACATAAGTGCATCGGCTCAGGTTGCCACACTCCACAGTAGTATACAAAGAACAGGTGGATAGGAAAAGAATGACATCAAAGTAAATAAAGTTGTATGAGAGAATGAACAGTGACTGGTTTTCAGCCATATCATCATGAGTTCTCAACCAGTGATTCCTTTTGTCTTGGGGACCACAACCACACAGTCTACACCTCTCAACACGATAGAGACCAGCAGTAAGAGACTGGATGAGTTGGTACCAAGTCTTAGTTTCCAGCTTCCCCTAGGATTGCATGTACAGGTAACCAGTGGTTCTGTATGCACAACACATGTCCAAGCCATCTAGCTAATGATGGTTCACAACCTCTTCAATCAACTTCCATATCTTGTCTAGTATCCTTTGCCTCACATGGTTATTCCACAAAATTTGAGCAATGCTATGTAGACACTTAAGATCGAAACCTTGTAACCACTTCATATCTCCGACCTTACAATACATATTGTTTATTGCATTGTATACATGATTTTTTAAATGGATACTGAATAATATTAATTTCGTTATTATACTATATTAGGAGATACATGACTCATGTGTGTCTACAGAGGTCTAGGGGAATATTAAGACACCACAAGTGTAATAGTGAGTGTAAGATTATACTAAGAATAGGTTGTCTGTGCGCAAATCTGTGACCTATGCACTCCTAGTTCAAATATGGGGCTTAATTCAGTGCTGATAGTTGGAGATAAATCTGCTGTTGTTGTTGCTTGGAATCAGTCAACATCTGGAGATGCCTCTGTTCTGTTGTTGATTTAAATATAGGAGTAAGACTTGAGCACTGTAATAGACCACAATTTCATATTAGATTTTTTATTTAACACAAAATAGGACTACTTACTGGATGACGTTCCGAACAGGACTTGCATCTCATAATCATATCAATGTATTTATGCAATTTCCAAACTCCCTCTCTGATCCGGTGTGAGGGAACAGGAGTATGACCAACGATTGTTACTTTTTGACATTCTAGATAACGTAATCAATGCTGAGTTACATAAATATCTCCTTAGGCAAATTGAGTGGAGTATTCATTTTAATATGCTTTGTATTATGTAACTTACCGAAAATCGGAGCATACTGTGACTTTGGAAACAAGTGGGTGAAGTTTCCTGATAGATATACAACCTTGACAATGTTAAACTGACCTTCTGACTACACTAGACGTGTCATTTTGCAGACCAAAACATCCACAATTTTGAATAACCCTTTAACAGTCAAGACGCTGATAATCAATGTCCAGAAAAAGAAATTTAATAACGGTCACACATTACATAAAGTATTTGACTTCATCACTGACACACTTAGTGGATTGCATATCAGAAGTATGCTGTATTTGGATTTGAGATGTTGTATACAGTGTCCTTGCCTTATTTTTCTAGCGAAACTTTCCTGATGGTTCTGTTGTCGATGGTGACTGTTTAATTAGTACCTTCTACCAAATGCCTGAAGTGCTTATTGGCTGAGTAATATGGCTAGGAACTTTCTGTCAAGTATGCTATACCATTATTAGGTTAAATTCAATCTTTTTGAAACGAACTGTAATATTGTTGTTACCAACCGTGTACCACTTGGTAATGTATTAGATGTAATTAGATGTACTGAAAGACTCATTTTTCCAAACGCAACTTGTTGCTAGTATTAGAGTAGAGTTGCATTTCACTTCAGTGCATAAACTTTACTATTGTGTTATCTTCCTACGTTCTAATATTCTGCAGTTAGCTGGTTTTATGTGTTTGACCAAATTCCATGTAGTGACAGTGAAGTCAAACTGACAGAACCGTGTCATTTAGGTTAACAGAATAAAAATCTAGCCTAATATAGAAGGTATATCCTAGCGAGATAAAAAGTCAGGAAAATAACTCAATCACAGATATGCATACTGTTGCACACACACTTCTCACTATAGTGAGAAGAACTGATGCTGAAACGTTATCTATCGAAGTGATACTTAACACATTTGATAAGAATTATACCGTGTTTAACATTTTATTAACAATTTTTTAAAGAAAAAATCAGAACGAAGAATGAATAATAGTAGAACTGTTAGACCAAACTACAAAGTTGTTTGATTCCCTTGATTGAGCAATGAAATAGGCTGTTATTACAGTATAGAATAAGATTGCCATGATCTTCATAAAAAGCCTGAAGATTTCTATAGTCGATTATGTTGCACCGAAGTTTCAACAGAAAGCACCCTTGAACCAACATGTAAATAATAGACTGTTTGAAGGGATAAAAAACTAATCTTAAATTCAAATCTCGAAATGCCCTGAGATAGTCAAGGTCACTGCATATATATAATGTATCAATACACCATATGTTATCTTACCGCCTTTTTCATTTACTGGTTGAACTGAGCGATCATCAAGGGATGGTATCGGATGATTATTGTACAAGCATCCACTTACATATAACTCAAATTGTATTAACTGGTCCTGATAAGGATACAACAAAGTTATCAAAAACTCTAAACGTTATGCAATAAATGATACTGTTTCACTATGTTATACATATAATAGAAGAAGTAAAATAAAATTATAATCTGTTACAAGCTTTCAATCACTCGTGTATCTTGTTTCTAATATTTTTGCTTATTTAATTACATCAATGTGGGTAGTTGTAGTGATTACATTTGTGATGAGTTTAATCACAGTTCATATCGGCTTACTCTAATCCTTTTTTTTCAAATTTGGTATATTCATGCTTTGATTATCTTCAGTTTTCATTGTACTGAAACGTTTGTTCTAATCAATAAGATACATATATGTGGCATCAAGATAAAATTATTCAATTTTAATTTACACGACTATTTTACTCTCTCTCTCTCTCTCCCTCCCTCTCTACCATTGTATTGTTTCGTATCAATCATCTACTGATTTCCATGTAATAAATTATGCTATCTTGTGGTTTTATTATATAATTTCATGTAGCTGATGAAAGTCGACGAAATAAAATGGATTCATGTTATTCTATTTCAGTGTTTGTTCATTATTGAATCAATCTTTTTTTCAGGTTAGTTTATAACTCTAGTAAACAGTCGAAATCACTGGACGTAAACAATATTCTTAGACTTATGCAAAACTAGAGGCAATAAGATTTGAAATTTCATAAAGTGGTATATTAGATTTGTTTATTTAATATAGAACATACGCAGACAGATGTAGAATAATTTGGTTGGTTGGTGGCGATCGACATGAAGCCCTGAGATCTGAACCTGTGTCATCCAGTGTTGTAATCAGCGACTTTACTACTGAGTTATTGGAGCTGCGACTGACTTCCGGTTGTACTGGGTTGAATAAATTGATTGGTCAAGGGAAAGCAACCAATTTCATGTTGTCTAGTCCTGTATGCTGATCGAATTCTACTGATCATATTTTCTATATGACCACTAAGCAGGGTATCAGTCCCATCGAGGTTACAAATACACCTGGTTGAAAAGTCTTAACAACCACGAAACCTAGATCCAAGAGTTCCTGTCGATCACCTCCAACTAACTAACACCCGCCAATGTGCACTGCGATGATGAGCCTCCTAGCTTGATGGCCACATTGCAAGTATGATCGAGACAATTCGGTCTCTCGTAATGCAGGAAATTGGTTGTTTTCCCATGACCGGTCAGTGTACGTAGAATAATTTACTACATAACTTTTCAAAAGCGGAAACAACAGTTAAAGCAGGTCAATATGGTATCAATCTATTGCCTCGATATTTTACCAACTGCTTATTACCAAGAATTTTAAAATCTTTAGTTTCATTGAACATTTTAGCATAATCTAATTCAGTGAAAGAAAACAGAATATCGAACACTAGTTACAACAGACAAAATTTGTCATAGCGCATCGGTAAATCATAACTGTGAGTCCAAGGAAGGTTAATAAAGTGTTATGGGTTGTCACAATAACATACATAATTCGGTCGGAGTTTCTAGAAAAGACGATAGTAGTAGCTACTAAAATGTTGAAGGATTTAGAATATGAGATTATGTAAGTTACTAGGTAGATAAGTTACCAAATAAAACACCCAAATACTGTAAGTTAAACTCAGTTAGCTGAAAATTACCTAAATTGAACACATTGAATTCAACTAAAGGTAATGTAAATAATTGCACATTCAATTTATTTCTTTGATATATAGGAGAACAAATACTTCACACAAGAGTCTGTGGTTGGTGATTTCATTCTTGAAGCTATACAGTCTCAGGTGATTGAAAGTTGAACACCTGCGAATGTATCAGATCAGTGAGTTTGAAAATACCAGATGTGTGTGGATTGCCAAAAATTTACAAATCTGGCTTACTTTCTCTTGTGATCATACATATGTCTGGTTTTTCTTGCCATACAACTGCAAATTGGTTAGCTGAACTCCTAAAGCCCACACTGAGGCTTGAATTGCCCGGCATTCAGCCCCAAATTCTACGGGATGTAGATGTCAGTCTTCCAACTCTTTTTGAAGTTGAGAAAGCGGTATCGAATCTGAAACGATGCAATGCAGCAGGACCTGATGGTTTACCACCCAAAGATTTTAGAATGGAGGTAGAAAATTACTGATTTTAGTGACAGATATACTAGGTAGTGTTAGGAAATCAAACGTAGTCCCTTCAAATCGGCTTAATTTTCTGATCATTTCT